AGCCGGGCCGGCTGGCCCGTCCCGCCCCGCCCCTGGCGGTAGCACTTGCCCCGCCCTCCCACCCGGACCATGACGTCAAGGGGGCCGCGACATAGGAACGCGGAGTCCACGTTTCCTAGGAAACGGCGGTGGAGGTGGCGAGGTCTTACTCTACTCTTACGTCATTACGTTATGGTTCGCGCGTCCCAGGAGTCGACCAATCCGAGAGGACAATGAGGGAAATGCCTTTCAGCTGTCTGTGCTGTCATCTTCACTGGCGTGCATTTTCTAGCTAAGTGACAATATTCTGGGAAACCTCTTGGGGGAGGTCACGGCGCTGAAGTGGCTTCGAGCACGATTCTCGGCTGCAGCCTCCTAACCAGGATCCCTCCCACCCGGGATATCCCTGCCCTTTCTTTTCCGGTGCTATAGGAGTACTGAGGAACTGCTCACATGCTGGGCTGCTGCTCAGAGAGAGACCCCGGGTAAGAACGAGCAGCCAGCACCTCAGATAGCCTGCGGAAGCCCGCACTCAACTTTGAGACCAGGAAGCATTTCTGCGCACGCGCAGGAGCCCGAGTAGGCGGGGCTTCACAATTAGGAGCCGCCCCGCGTCACCTGCTTCCTCTCCAAACCGGAGGCTGAGCGGCAGCCTTCGCGGGAAACCCCGGGTGTTCCGTTAGGTGCTGGCGGCGGGAATGGCAGGCTCAGGGAACCTGGTCCTGCGGCCCTGGATTCGAGAGCTGATCCTGGGTTCAGAGATACTGTCAAGTCCACAAGCCGGCCAGCTGCTCAAGGTGAGCAGGCCTCTCGGCGCCCGAGAGCTACCTGGGTGGACGCCCGGGTAGTGGTTGACACTAGTTCCTGCGTCAGGTACTGCAGGACTCGGAGACCCCGGGTCCATCCGACGCCCCGGACGTCCACGTTTCTGAGGTCGGGGCCATGCTCCTGGTGTCGGACGGATTCCACAGTGTCCGGTGCCTCGTGACGCGCGAGGCCCTCAACAGCTCTGACTGGTAAGAGAGGCGCCCTCGGCTAGGGAAAGTGGGAGCCCAGTGCAGGAGGGGAGCGGGTCTGGAGGGAGGTGGGGAAGCTCGTCTCAGGCGTGTGGGGTGGCCCTGGGCCCTGGGCAGTGAGGACCATGCTTGCCACAGGGAGGAGAAAGAGTTCGGATTCCATGGGGCGGAGGGCCGGATGCTGCTGCTGCAGGTGTGCGAGGTCCGCATCCAGGTCGCTGAGGGCCGCACGGTGAGTGGTGAAGTGCCCTTGGGGCAGGTTGTTTACAGTGTCTGGCTCTTTGTGACAACTCCTGAGACACCACCTCCCAACTCCTCTAGCCTGCGGAGTTCTATCTCCAGGTGGATCGCTTTAACCTGCTGCCCACAGAGCAGCCCCGGATACACGTAACTAGTTGGTAAGTGGTCCCTCCAAGGGCTACGCTTAACTTGCCTGAGGCCATGGGGGTTCAATCCCAGTGTCTCTCACCCACCTCCTCACTCTGTGTGACATCACTCTTTTAAGTGAGCTTGGGGCCCAATGACACTGACGACTTTTCTCTTTTCCCCAGCAACCAGGACTCAGATGTGCAGAAAAAGCTCCAAGACTGCCTTGAGTAATATGGGGCTGGGCCCTGAGTGTGGTATCATCATGGGGTGGCAAATCTGGGTAAACAGGCATCAGGATTGTTACTGAGGGCTGTGCTGTTTCTCTAGGGACCACCTTTCAGAGTCTACTTCTTCCAGTGCAGGTACTGGCAAGGGTTTCCCAGTGACCTTAACTAGCCCCCAGTGGAGTTACTTCTGCCCTTACCTCATGTTGCCTTAGTAAGTACCCCACACATCCTATGTTCCTTCTCTTTGAACTCCAATCCTTTGCCTGATTCCTATCCCCAGGACTAACACTGTCTCAGCTTCTGGATGAGGTACAGGAGGACCAGGAGCATCGAGGGGCACTGGTACGCCTGGCTGAGAGCTGTCTGATGCTGACAGGCCCTGGCACACCCACCTCTGTTACCCACTGGACTGCCTCCCGCTGCCAGTCCACAGTCAGTATGAGGCTTTTCTTGGGAGGTGTCAAGGGGAGGATCAGGCAAGTTATAATGAGATTTCATATCCCACAGGGAGAACCTGTGTACACTGTGTCCAGCCTATTGCTGCATATTTCCGAGAATGACCAGCAAATTCTGAACTCTATAGACTCAAGTCAGAAGGCACCAGGTAAGAACTGGAGAGGTCAAAGTCTTTGGAACCCAAGGCCCACCGTGCTGATGATTCTTTCCGGAATCCCCAGACCCAACTCTACAGGATCCATCCCTGTCTTTTACCTACTTCCTCTGGCTTAGGCCATATAAATACTCGGTGTTATCAGCCAGGTTGCCGGACTGTGCAGAATACTGTGAAATGTGGTATAGTAGGCTCAGATCTGCTGAGGTCACAGATCACTCAGCTGAGCTAGAAGGGCTGTACTTAGAGTATCGTTCTCCCCAGGAACTCCTGCCTCACCCAGAAGCATCCCATTGGAGGAGAGTGGTGCCAGTGTCAGCCTTCTGTCAGCCTTGGCTGCTCCAGACCCTGGGCAGAGGGGCAGCTTCCAGACCTCACCAACTGTCTATTCACCCTCCCCCAGACCCCAGGCCCCCAGTTCCCCAACCCAAAGTTGTACACTCAGTACCCCATTCCTGAGCTGCACGTCCAGTCCCATACCCCTTAGCCTTGCCCCCAGTCCACACCAGGACCATGCAACTGGAATCCAGAGACGTAGCCTGGAGATCAGGATGCTAGGGCCGCCACTCAAGAAACGGCAGCTTTTTCCAAGGACAGGAGCTCAGGAGCCCTGCCCTGTTAGGGTGAGTATTGCCCCTCTGCAACTGAAAGGGAAGAGGTGGGAGGGCCTTTGGTAGAGCTAGAAGAAGGCCAAGGGTTGCCTTGGATGGCATTAGAGGGTCCTTATTAGACTCTCTAGATACTACACTTCTTTCAGGATTCCCTAAAGAGGCATCATGATGGTTCTGCCTTTCAATATAAGTATGAGCCACCCTCTGCCTCCCTCCGTGCTCAGGTCCAAGCTACCAGGTGAGTACCTGGGGCCGCCCCTCCTCTGTTGCAGCAGTCCCAAGTAACCTTGACCTATAGCCTTGGTTTCTTCCCAGGCTCCCTCCTCAGCTTGTGGCTTGGGCCTTGCACTTGGTGATGGAGCAAGAGTCTGAATTAACTCAGGGGTCACCGTAAGCATATCAGAGGATATGTACACACAGGTCGATGGACAGACAGTGCTCCATACTCTGTTTCATTCAAGTTTTTTAATAAAATAATTTCATGCGGCAGAAGAGGATTGGATCAGGGTTTGGGGCCGCCGCCGCCTCTTTGGTCTGTGGCTGGGGAGGGAGGACTCTGCTCAGGACTGGAGGGCTCTGTGGAGTATGGAGGCAGAGGCTTGGTTCCAAGGCCAGATCCTGTGAGGGGAGATGGAGAGAAAGAAAGGTTCTGAGCTGTGCTGAGCTAGCTTATCCTCCCAACTGTCCCTGGCCCCCTCTTACCTAGACTTGGGGATGGGGGTGCTTCAAGCTTCGGCCTGCGCTTGAGGACAGGGGAGCGCTGCAGCCGCAGGGGCCGTTCTAAGGAATACAGAAGGACTTGCTATCTGGCCATCCCCACCCATCTCCCCACAGCTCCCCACCTCCAGTGCATGTAAAAACATGCACATGCTACTGCCATAGCTCCTCTGACTAGTGTCCTCCCATGCCTGATAGAGGTCACTATCTTGGATTTGGAGCCAGGACTAGTAGGAATAGCTTGTCAAAATATTGCACCAGGCCTTTGGACTTCTTTATTTATCCAGACCTCACACCACTGGCAACTCTGTCCAAGGACCAGAACCAAGGTGGAAGTCCAGGAGCCCACCCTCCCCCTTCTGCACTCAATCACACAGAGGTATCTCCCTCACCAGCAGGGGCCTGGAGCTGGTCCTCATGCACAGACACTGCTCGTCGCCCTGCAGAGAGAGGCCTCGGCCTCAGCTGACCATCTAGGGGAGGCCAAGGTATCAGGATGTGCTCCCAATAACTGCCCACACTGAGCCCTTGCCTCCCACTTTCAGTGTTCTCAGAGGAATTGCGATCTCAGCAGGTATTCCTCTAGTCCTCAGCCTAGGATTGGGGTAGGAGTAGGGTATCTACCTACCTTCGTTCCTGGGGACCAAGCAGGGGTCGTCCGGGAGGCTGAGGATGTCTGGGGAGGGGCTGGTTCTCTGGGGACTTGGGCTGAGACATGGGGAGGGAGGGCCTGGACCATCCTGTTGGCCCCAACCACGGCCTCTGAGCTCTGCATTTAGCTGCTGTCCTAATGTCTTCCAAGTGGCAGACTCAGGCTCCTGGCCCCCTGGCCCAGGTCTACAGGAAGGGTCTAGGGGAGAAACAAGAGTGTCAACCAAGACCTGAGCCTGGCCTTGGAGATGGGTTGGAGCAGTGGTCCGATCCCCTTCCTGCCAGTCCTAGCACTTCCCCTAACATACACAGTGGCCCTCACTTACCAGCAGACACAGAGTGGGTGCGGGACTTGATTGAGATGGGAGGGGTCTCCGTGGAACTGTCCATGATGTCACCTGCAAAGCAGGGCTGGGGGCTCAGGCACCAGACCTTGAGGATGAGGGGAGGAAAAACCTGACCTGTCCCCTTCCCCAGAAGAACACGTACTTTGGGGACTATCCCCAAAGGCCACCTCCTCCCCCTAAACATATTCTCTTATTCTGGGGTCCTACTTACCATCCGAGCCTGCCTTCTTGATCTCGCCATCTTTGCTCTGTAGGAAATAAGTCAAACCTCAGCCTGTTGCTCTTACCTGTCTCTGTTCATTCTTGTTCTTAAAACCTAGCTACAGGCTGGGAGTGGTGGCACATGCCTTCAGTCCCAGCACTCAGGAGGCAGAGGCAGGCAGATCTCTGTGAGTTCAAGGCTAGTCTGGTCTACATAGCAAGTTCCAGGGCAGCTGGGGCTACAGGGAGACGCTATTTCAAAAAAAGACCAAAAAATAAAAAAAAATAACCAAAACAAAAAACAGCTACATCATGTCCACCATGGACTGGCAAGAACATGGCAAACCTAGTCCCTGCCCTCTGAGCTTAGAGTCTGGGATGACAGATAATTGACATAAGTGTGCAATCATGACACGTAAATGTAATTTAAGTTTTGGTGGTTTTAAGACAGTTTCACTATATAGCTCAGGCAAGCCTTACTTGCAGTCCTCCTGCCTCAGCTTCCTGAGTGCTGATATTACATACTTGCACTATCACACCCAGCAGATACATGATTTCATAGTTTTGTGATATACTTTCTGTACTTCAACATTACTAAATTCAGATCAGGTTTCACTGTGTTAGGTGCTTTTCCTGAAAAACTGTTAAGTGGATGTACGCAGGGATGTAGTTCTTAATAGGGACTATGATTAGAATCACATTAACAAGGTGACCATGGAAGGGAGTCCACAAGGAACTGTAGGGATAGTTGAGTAGGAACCTGTGTAATCTATTACATGACTAGACAGAGAACATATCCAACACACGAGGCTCTAAGGTGCCCCCAAAGGAAGAGAGCAGGGGGGTCTAAGGTAGCTAGGACCAAGGCTCCCTACAACCTTGTAGCAGGATTCAGAGTCTGGATAAAATCTCCAGAGGAAGCCCCTGGAGGACTAGTTGTTTTCATATAAGGTAAAAAGGTCAAATTTCTGTTAGCTCTGCCAAGAGTTCCCAGGTTCTAGGAGGTGTTACTGGTAGCCTTGGCCAAGCCAGAAACCAAAAGGAAGAAAGTTAAATCCAGTGACTATTTTGAGGGGGAAGAGAGAGTAACTGACAATTTGTGCCATGAATTTCCTCTTTCCTGGTCACATATGTCATCCACAGATTGCCACATGCCACCTGCCCCCTCAGTTCACACTCACCCCACCCCAACTCACTTGCTTCCTCTTGTTTTCTGCACCCCCGCTGCCTCGGCTTACACCGATCCTCTGTAACATTACTTGTACCCGATGCTCAAAGGATGGAGCCAGCTCTGTGTCTCCTCGCTCCAGGGGCCGCCGCTGGGGACAGAGATTCCTAATGTAGAGCGAGCCCACTGCCCACCATTCTTGAGAAGCCCTCAGCCCCTGACACGAGGCCTTACCTTGTCAGATCTGGCATTCAGTGCTGCCTCCTCCTCCTCAGCAGGCAGCAGTATCATGGAGTAGGCCTTGCTTTCTCGTGTATAGCGAGGCCGACTCCTGCGAGCAGGGTCAGGGCTGCTGGTACCCCCCTCTGCCCCTCCAGGCTCGTCACCACCTCGGCCTGGGCGGGCTGGCGGCCGCAGCAGGTCCCCAAGTGTATTTTTTCTGGCACGGACTGCTGTCCCAGGGCTGGTCTCTAGATCAGGCCGTGGACCCCGTGTTGAACGAGGTTTCTTGAAGGCAAAGAGGGTGCCCAGCTTCTTGCGAAGTGTACGGGGGACAGGTGTGGCACCACCCTCGGTGGCTGGATCTTCCTCTGGGACCCAGCTGTAGGGACAACCATCAGTGAGTCAAGAAACCCAAGGACTTTCCACCATCTTCCATCCCCAGCAACTGACCCTCACTCACAGTTGTTCCTGCTGGATCAGCCTTTTGGAAAAGAATTCCTCCACACCCTCATCTACGCGGGCACTAAGCCCATTCCCCTCTTGCAGCTGGGCTGGGGGCACCTGGGAAACATTGGGAAGTTACGAGTCAAGACTGTGCAACTGTGGCCTCTTCCCCCACCTCATCTTCCCAGCAGCATGGCCTGAGTAACATCCTGAGCTAGGGGGCTGTGGGTGGATACCGGTGCTGGGTTTCACTCACTGCTTCAAAAGTACTCATGCCCAGTCCACACCCGTTCTCTGTCAGAGGATGCTATAATCTGAACTACCTGGCTACCAGTAAGCAAGTACCTACATGACCCATGGGTCACACATTCCCACTTGTCTCCCCCTCCACTTCAAACAGTTCCCTGCAGTACCCTCATCCCCCACCCCCACCCCACCCGGCCTGATCCAGGCTCAGAGGCGCCAGGCTGCTGCGTCAGACCCTCAGGGGGCCTCAGGCCAGCTCCTCCTCTCCTTCTGCCAGTGCCCACTACCCTGTCAGTACCCAAGCCCACACGTACATCTCCCCACACATTCACCCGCTGGCGCACCATAGACGCAGCAGTGTCCCCGCGGCCCAGCATCTTTCAGTAACCCCAGAAGAGGGAGGGCAAGGCGGACACCCACTTTTGCAATTCACTCCATGCACTAGCCCATTTCAAAGCGGAAGTCCCCCATCCTGGCACACATCATACGAAACACGCAACCCCCGTGACCCCTCATCAGCACGGACCCGGGGTTGAGGATGGCCAGGAAGAAGATAGGGCGGGATCAGGCGGACTTGGGCCTCCACAACCCATTCGTGTCTTCTATCACAAGTGAGGCACAACGGGACCACCCATGACCCTCCAGTCTAGGAGCTCCAGAGTGTGTGGGGGGTACTCACCTGGGGGCCCCCCGGCGGCGGCCGGTGGTGGTGCTGGCGACGTGGACGCGGCCGGGCCCGGGTCGGATGGCGTAGGGGCTGCCCGGCGGGTGGAAGGTCCATGCGAGGCAGCTGGCCGGATGGGGGCCCGGGGGCGGCGGGGCTTGGAGAGCCCCGCGCCGATGGCCCCGCCTGCGGCTCCGCATCTTCTCCCGGAGCCGCCAGCTCGGGCTCCGGCTCTGCTTCCTCAGCAGCACCTGAGGCGAAGGCACCAGAAGAGCAAAGAGCGTCGAACCCGGGGAGGTGGTGGAGGCGCTAGGGCGGCGGGGGACCCGCCCAGGGCGCGGGGAGGGGCCCGGCTACGCCGCCCGCCCCTCCCCCCCCCGCC